ATGATGCAGTTGAAATGTCAGTGTAAATTACAAATGCTACATTCGTTTTCCATATTCAGAATTTGTCCTATGTGTAGTAACACACATGCTGAATTTTACAGTCAAATATACACGCTTAAAATGAGTGAATTCAATTATATAACGTATATTAATTTTTAAAGCTTCAAACTGTGCTAATGAGAATTTAGCATGGACTGGAGTTTTATTATTTAAGCCAGCAGTTTTATTTAAAAATAGTTTACTTGATAAATTAAAATTTGAAATTATGATAACCTGTGTTAAGACCTTTATCCATTTAATTGTCTCTATACTCATTTTTACTTTAAACACAAACAAGTATTGCTTGATTATTGAAAATATTTTAAAGAAAGTCACACTATTAAACTGGTAGAAGTTATTGGCTAAGCACCTAAGCTTTTGACAGTAGTAGCCTCTTCTGCATTCACGGGGAGGACATTTCAGTTTATATAGTTCAGTTCAATTCAATAATTAGTTCATTCAAAACTGAGAAACTTACTGGCATCTGGAGAATCAAGAATGTGTATTTTCTTCTTCCAGTCTGATTAAAGACATTAATAAGAAGCTGAGATCTACTATTTCTTAAAACTTTGAAGGACATGGGGTGAGGTTCTATGTTTTCCTGGTAGTCTTAGCAGTTGTTTTGTGTGCATCTACCTGGCATTTTTAGCAGTAACACATAGATAAGAATTCTGTTCCTGGATGTGTAAGCCTGTATGTATAGATCACTGCGTATGTGCAGAGACTGGGTATGAGCAGTAGAAGCTATGGCATATATGGCTGAACCTTGAGGATGTGTAGTGTCTTTAGATGCCTGAAAATGTAGTAGGCTAATGATTTGAAATGTTTGCTAGTGGTTACCTGGAGCGACCTAGTTTGGGTCCAAGGCAGGCTTTTGTTAGGACCAGGCCACTACAGCTCTTCCCTTTTGAGCTGCTGTGTCCTGGCAAAGTCCTCTGCTGCTGGAATGCCATCAAAGTCCCCAGGCTTGCAGGCCAGATCCAACAATTCTGCAAGCTGTAGGTTGCCAACCCCAGGTAGTAGACTAAAACCCAGGACTGCTGGGACTTGACTCAGGAGCAGAGAGGGAGGAAGATCTGGTCTTTTCTCCTCAATAGTGGAGTGGCTTGGGCACTCACCTGGGAAGCTGAGACCTGGGTTTTAGCCCCTCCTTGCCCAAAGTGGGTTTGAATATGGGCATCTCTGACTTTGCATAACTAACCACCATACCACATCAGTCAAAATTCAATCCTTTCTCTAGAGTTCCTTTTGAAGCTGGCTCAATGGGAAGTCATGTGAGGAAGGTATATGCAGTCAAAAAGGAGAGAGTGGTCAGGAAGAAGAAAGGGTGTGTGGCTCAGTGAGGTGACTGCTGGTCTGGATCCTTACTCCCCATGAGGAAGAGGCTTTCTACCTACACTGGTCACTCTCCATTTTTTCCCAATAATAATTGTTATATGGTAGTAGTTAGAGGACTGTGCTGGGAAGTCAGACTCTGGCTCAAACCCACTTTGGATGAAGGGGGTCTGGACCTCCAGTTCTCTGGCTTTCCATTTGAGTGCCCTAGCCACTCAGCTATGGGGGGTAAGAAATGGAAAGAAGGAATAGATTTCCTACCTATGCACCAGTGCCAAAATGCCACGTAGACAGCCAAGAAAACACAGCTGCAGAAACAATCAGTTCAATTTACTATCAATGATTTATTAAATATAAATAGCACTTTCTGTTGGGTTTAAACATGGTGAGCACATCCAGACGTGCATGGATATTTGGCTTCCCAGGAAAACTAGCATTGGCACACCTTGCGCCGCAGCTGCTTGTCCCTTGGGAACGCCCGTGCCACATGTGCTTTGCTATGTGCCTTAGCAGCCTTACCTGGGATCCTGGGGGCCTCCTGCGGCTGCATCCACAGCGATCCTCTCAGCCAGAGTCTGGGCAGCAGCCGCAGCATGGCTCTGGATGTCCAATCTCTACTTTTCAGCAGCGAATGCTGCCTGAGCTTGCACTGTGCAGTTTTTTCCCCTGTGTTTTTCTTCACCCCTGGATATCCAGGGGTCAAAAAAAATGCGGAAAAGAAACCCAGTGCAGCACACACTCGGACAGTGTGCCCTTGCAGCACGGAGAACACCAAACTGTGCAGTATGTGGCGCTGCAAACGTGTTTGCGGTGCCAATACTGCACGACCTCACTCATCTGGACGCCTCCAATATGTATTTTGGTGATGATTTCTTGTTTATCCAAATCGTTTGACATAGCTTTAACTGGTAAGAAATTTTAAAATGCTGGATTTCTGAATTTTTGGTAAATTTAAATTTCCATTCAATTGTATCAACATGGATCATGAATAAAAATCAGGTATCTGACATAATAAAATAGAAACACTAGGAATGTAAAAATGTGTATGCTAAGTGGTATGCCTGTTTTATGTGTATATGGCATTAGCCAAAAGAAACACCAGAGTTTGTGTAAAGGCTGTTTAGCTACTGATCAACCTATCTTAATGGCTATCAACCAGAAAAAAAGGACTTTCTTTGAGGAAACAGCTGGTAGGCAAATATAAAACAAGATAAAAATGTCTATTTAAATGACAGTTGCTTGCTTTGTAATTTATATCGCAATTAAAATTATACAGTTTGCTTTTATTTATATCAGATCACCACTGGGGTTCTGCCGAAGTCAGATGCCTTACATCTACATCACTAAAATAACAATCGCAGGTAGCTCAGGGCACTGCTTCTCCCCAGTTCAGTGCATATCAAGTGGACTGGACTGCGATTAACTATATCATTTCATATAAGTTAATAAGCAGTTGCTAGATACGGCTGGAATGGTTTAGTCAGAGATGATCCAGGTTTGAGCAGAGGGCTAGATTAGATAACTGTATGAGGCCCCTTTTAGTCCTACTTTTCTATGATCCTATATCTATACCCTATATCTCTGACTTTTGGTCATTGAACTCAAGCAATAGTGGAACCCAAAAGTTTAAGATGAAATTCTTTAAAGCAGTGTCATTCCAATCTTTTGCTTACCTTTACTGGAAGAGGATTTGGGACTTGTTTCATAGATTTCATAGACATTCGGGCTGGAAGGGACCCCAGAGAATCATTGAGTCCAGCCCCCTGCCCCAGGGGCAGGAAGTCGGCAGGGATCATAGGATCCCAGCAAGATAAACATCCAAATGTGTCTTGAAGGCGTTCAAAGTGGGTGCTTGAACCACCTCTGGTGGCAGGCTATTCCAGACCTTGGGGGCTTGGACAGTAAAGAAGTTCTTCCTTATGTCCAGCCTGAATTGGTCATGGAGGAGTTTGTCACCATTCGATCTTGTCATCCCTTGGGGCGCTCTGGTGAATAGTCATTCCCCCAGATCCTGGTGAACACCCCTGATAAACTTATAGGTGGCCACCAGATCACCCCTGAGCCTGCGCTTTTCCAGGCTGAAGATTCCCATGGCTCTCAGCCTCTCATCATAAGGTCTGTTTTCCTGACCTCTGATCATGTGCGTGGCTCTCCTCTGCACTCTCTCAAGCTTCTCCATATCCTTTTTGAATTGTGGAGCCCAAAGCTGGACGCAGTACTCCAGCTGCGGCCTCACCAAGGCCAAGTACAGCAGGAGAATGACATCCTGGGATTTGCTTGAGAAGCATCTATGGGTGCAAGCCAGTGTTTTGCTCGCTTTTCTAGCCATAGCATCACGTTGAAGGCTCATGTTCATCTTGTTGTCAGTTATGACCCCCAAATCCCTTTCATCTGTAGTGCTAGCCAGCGTAGCACTGCTGAGCCTATAAACATGCTGCAGGTTTTTCCTCCCAAGGTGAAGAAAGTTGCATTTTTTCAGTGTTGAACACCATCAGGTTCTCATCTGCCCATTTCATGAGCCTGTCAAGATCTGCCTGGATCACCCTCCTGTCCTCAGGTGTGGATGCTTTACCCCAGAGTTTGGTGTTGTCGGCAAACTTGGCAAGTTTGCTTCTGACACCAATGTCCACATCTTTAATGAAGTTGTTAAACAGTATAGGCCTTCAGACAGAGCCTTGAGGAACCCCACTGGTGACCGCGCACCAAGACGATTGGCTTCTATCAACCATCACCCTCTGGGTCCTACCACAGAGCCAATTCCCCAGCCAGCAGATTGTGGTGAGGTCGAGGCTGCAGCTAGCCAGTTTAGCTAAGAGGTGATCGTGGGATACCAGATCAAAGGCTTTTTTTAAAGTCAAGATATATGACATCAATCTCTTCCCCCTTGTCCAGGTGATAGGTAACCTGGTCGTAAAAGGAAATGAGATAGGTCAAGCAAGAACTACCCGCAACAAACCCATGCTGGCTATCCCTCAGGATATTGCCATCAGGTAGTTTGTTAAGGATGGCCTCTTTGATAATCTTTTCCAAGACCTTCCCCAGGATAGGGGTCAGGCTGATGGGCCTGTAGTTTGCCGGATCTACTTTCCTCCCTTTCTTGAAGATAAGCACGACATTGGCCTTCTTCCAATTTTCAGGCACTTCACCAGAGCGCCAGGAGTTCTCAAAGATCCATGACAGGGGCTGAGCTATGATGCTAGCCAGCTCCTTGAGTACCCTTGGGTGTAAATGTTAGGGCTGGCTGACTTGAAGGTATCCAGCCTCTTAAGGTGTTCCTTCACGAGGTCATCTTCGATGGAGGGTAAGGAATCTCTCTCACCTGGGCCTCCCTGACCCACAGGGGACTGGTGAAAAACTGATGCAAAGTACCCATTGAGCAAGTTTGCTTTTTCATGGGCATTGATTGTCAGTTGTCCCATCTGGTTTAGCAGGGGTCCAGTGTTGCCCTTGCTTTTCCTCTGGCTCCCCACATATCTAAAAAAGGACTTTTTATTGTCCTTGATATTTGTAGCTAACTGGAGTTCCATCATAGCCTTGGCTTTCCTGGTTTGCTCTCTGCAGGAGAGCATGTTGTTCGATCATAATCTGATGCTGCTTTTATTTCTGTTTTATTTTAACAGAATCCTCCAGGTCTGCCTAGCATAGCTGTTGCCTGGATAGTTTGTCTTGTACGAAGAAGCAAACTGATTATCGATTGGCACAACTATGGATATACCATAATGAGTCTGACTCATGGAACAAGTCATCCAATTGTGAACATTGCAAAGTGGTTTGTATAAAAGGTTTCTTTTTCTTCCCCTCTTACAAAACATGTAGTTTTATAGAATTAAAAAAAAAGTGGAAAGCAGCAAATAAGAAGTAGAAAAATAAAGTTTCTTTAAAGAGGTGATATGTAGAGTCCAAACTAACCTACACTTCCTTTCAGAAAGGGTACTGTGTAGAATTAAATAGAGAATGCCTTTTCTCTAGAGAACTTAATAGAACATTTGATTCCTGCTACATTCTGTAAGATGATCCCAGAAAGCTATAGAAATGATATATTCCTGTATTAAAAAGCATTTTGGAGTAATTTCTGTTAAGTCCTATTTGTTTAATCCCTATTGCATTCTATAGGATTTGTCATACGGTTTAAAAATGGTTATTATCTGGTAAGGGATATTGTCTAGCTATGTATAAATAACATACTTGTGTATGAGCATATCAATATTCATACATGTTTATGGAGTATACACACAGTTGTAAAATGTCTATTTATTTCTGAATCTGAGTGTCATGGTATTCCAAAACGCTGCAGTTGTTTCTGTAATGTATGAACTATATGTAAATAGAGAGAGAGTGTATAGTAACTTGGGTTTCATTACATGTGTTGGAGTGATAAAATAGTAAAATCCCTCTAATCCAGCATGAGTGGGGAATGGGGTGTGCCGGGTATCTAAAAGTGCCGGTTACCTGAGGAGCGTGGGTTTCCAGATGGACGCGGAGCGGGGAGGAGTTGACTGCTGCATGCAGAGCGGCAGCAGCGCAGGGTAGTGGGTGGCAGCGGCAGCGTGTGAGCTTCCCTCTCCACCACCCCGCTCTCATCCAGCTGGAAATTCCAGTTAGTAGAGTGTTCCCGATAGTAGAATGCCGGATAACAGGGATTTTACTATATTCTGTTTTAATTCCTTGTGTATTTCAGTTTCTCAAATTTGAATATAATCTGCTTCTTGCCCTGTTTGTTTTGCCTAGCTCCTTTATATGTATATTGAACATTTTGGGCTAGTTTCTGTTCCAGCATGTCAGAATCTAAGAGGTATGTAGGCATCCAAGTGTGAACCCTAGTCTACCCTACTCAAGTCCCTGAAAAACTAGTAAAGGAAAAGGTGAGTGGCCCCCTCCATGTTTTCTGACTTGCTCTGAAGATTAAGGCCTCATACAGACATTTAGTTTCTTCTCAGAGAGTCAGTGTTCTCCCAGGAGAAACTATGAATGTACAGATGTTCACGCTTTTTATCCCAGAGTAAAAATGGCCACTTCAGGAGAAGCATAACCTGGGAACAGCCAGGGCTAAATCATTCCCAGGAGAATTTCTCATGGGAGAGCGAATGTCTGTAGATGCTATGTTTTCTCTCAAAAGGGAACATAGTCCTTCAGTATAATTCCCCCTCACTCCCGCCTCCCTGTGAGACTATGTGTTGCTCACTGGACTGTGCCGCTCTAGCAGGGAGCAGACCATGCCCCCTTCACAATCTCCACATTGTGTTGCAGGGAGACACAGGAAGGCAACTGACAGTTTGGGTCAGCCAATCAGGACTGTCCTATGCACTACTGCCATTTGTTGCCAGGTGGACTAAGGAAGCCTGCAGAGCACGCTGAGATGTGTACGCAGGACTCCTCTGTGGTTGCACAGCGTCCGCACTGTAAGCTCAGCATTTGACTGTCTATACATGTGGTTCTGGCAAGTTTTTCTACCAGGAGAACAAACCTGGGAGAATTTTCCCAGATTATTTGAATGTGCATGCACAGCCAAAAAAGATGAGGGTGCTTTATAAAAGTAGAAGAGTTTAATGGGTTTTTCAGGGGCTCAAATAGGGTGGAATAGGATCATATGTAGATAATAGGTGGAACGGGATCTGGTGTTTAGTCCTTTTTTGTAAGTGTTTTCTGAACTGCTTGCTACATTGCATTGCTGCTTCACACAGGAGCCTCTGTATAGGGGTTATGTTAAACCCCTTAAAGATATGTGCCTAGGCTATTAGGTTTAGAGAAGGCATGTGCTCTTCTGTATTTTTATGTAATGGCTCTTTCTGGGAGAAGTATCAACCTAGACATGATTTCCATGTTAAAATGCAAGTGATAAACAGTACTGTGTAACACACCTGTTGATAAATTTAGACAAAATCATAATAGCTAGAACAGTGACTTTCAGCCAAGGTGTGGACGCATCATGGAGTGCCTCGAGATCTTTTCAGGGGTGCCACAAGATGCCGTGCAATGTTAGGTGTGCAAATATGGTCCATAAGATAAACCCGGAGCTTTCAACTAGGAATCCATAGTATTAGAAACATTTGGACCTGTTGTCATCTTTCTGAGTTCTTTGCAACAGAAGAATTGCTCTTATTATTTTTCTGCTGTCATGAAACAAGTGAAAACTAAGCTAGCATTTTTGGATGCGTGCCTTGAGTCTAAAGTTGAGAACCACTGAACTAGAATATTTTTATTCCCAAGATTTGGCACTGCCAGTTATGAGAAGTGTATTTAGTATTCCTGTCTAATGAAATTGACAACCTTTGGGTTCTCACTGAAGTTTAATTTCTATTAGGTATGAAAAATTTTTTGGACGTCTGTCTGACCATAACTTTTGTGTGACTAATGCAATGAAAGAAGATTTACAAATGAATTATAACATCAAGTAAGTTAAAGGCCTCAAACAAATTAGTATATGCAGTTTTGCAGCTATCTGGACCTAATGATTTTTTATATATAAAATTTTCCTTTATTGGGCTGAAAAAATTGGGATCAAAACAACTGTTTTCTGACCTAGAACCAGTAGTTATAAAAGATTTCTGATCTTGAAAGACTTGGCGATTGATTGTCCACTGCCCGGTTTTTAGCATTAAGAGGAGAGCATACAGGATGGTAAAGCTTTCATATTATTGAACTTTTGTTAGATTTCTGGAAAAAAATCTCAATAGTTCAGAAAAATTAAGTAAGAATGAATATATATTGTTCCGTCATAATTCCATCTCCAAAGGAGGCCCAAGAGCTCACTTGAGTCAAATGTTACTGGTGTCTGGGGAAGAGACATCCAGAGTTTTTGACATGGAAGCAAGTAGAAGGTGATTTAGTTTTTTAATCAGACTGGGAGACATATCTCTCTTACAATGTAAGTGTTAAAAGGAAGTTTAAATTCTTGACCTCAGTAAGCTTCAGCATCAGCCACTTAACCCCATTCCATCCCATACCCTATCCCTAAGCAATGAAATGCATTATCTGGATTCTTTTTTTTTTTTCTTTTTTGATGTACTACATTACAGTGTAGCAACTTAACTAGGAAACCTCCTGAGGACACTTGAATGCTTCATTTAATTGAAAGTGGAAGTTCCCATCTTATGATGCCACTACTGCTTATCTTCATTGAAAGGTTTCTGCAGGACGAAGTCACCACAAGAAATCCTGCAGAACCCATGCACCTTTGCACACCTTCTGGTGGCTCCACATAATGCCACTACAACAGTTGTGTCAACAGGGCATCCTGTAGTTCTTGAGAGGCACTATGTGTCTTTTCTCTTCTGCTCAGTAGCTGCAGAAACCTTCTTTCACTTGCTGAGCAGATATTTTTTGTGCCTGTAAAAAGAAGGCTCTTCCACAGGAGGGAAAGTGTGTGTGTGTGTGTGTGTGTGTGTGTGTGTGTGTGTGTGTGTGTGTGTGTGTGTGTGTGTGTGTGTGTGTGTGTGTGTGTGTGTGTGTGTGTTCTAACACTTCAGACAGCAGAACTGTCATGTAGATCAGATCATAGTTTGAGGCTGTCAGCAGATTCAGCTCTGGCCAGATTTTTGAAAGCTTGACTTTATGCAGTCATAAGGCAAAGGAATTTTTCAGAATGTAAGCTTATGTTCACAGACACAGTTATGAGGCAGGTCTAAAAATGAAACCAAGTGTTCATGGCTGCATTACATGCATCTAGTGTGCATTATAGATTGTGCCTTTATTGTAGGATTCACTCTACTATGCCAAGTCTATTCTGCTTCAAAAACATTTAGTTTATAGAGTTTTCAGAATCAGATCATTCATTATTTTGTTTTATGAATGCCTTTAATTACTTCCTATTTTTCACTGCTGTAGCCTATGAATTTTATCTTTATAGTTTGTATCTTTTATGTATTCTTTTTATTTGACTCATGAATTTGTTTCATTACAGAGCCATAACCCTCTATGATAAGCCAGCTGCCTTTTTTAAGGAAACACCATTAGAACTTCAACATAAATTGTTCATGAAACTTGCCAAAGACTATGATTCATTTAAGGCACGGTATGTATAGGTAAAAGATGCATTTTCGTTCATTAGCTGATTAAATCGGACAGTACAGGTAGTCTAGAAACTCAGCATATGTTTCTGTAACTTCCTCTAACTGATGGCTCCTGAAATCATCATTGTTACCATGATACTTCGGTGCAACTCAGCACCAAAATAAATGTACCCTGGGAGATGTTGTGGAAAAACTGGGAATCAGAATATTGTGAAATTCATGGTGTTTGCACAGTATCTATTTATATCCATGTATAACCCTACTGCCATATCTTTGGTATTAATAGACATATTCTTTTAAAATTGTTTCTGCAGAACAGAGTTTGCACATCCAGATGTTGAGAAGTCAGCATTTACAGAATTAGATGTCAGAAATGGAAGTTTGGCACATGTCAAAGAACGACCAGCGCTTCTAATAAGCAGCACAAGCTGGACAGGTCTTGAATCAAAGCAGTATTTAATGTTGTTGTTCTTTTCAGTAGTATTCCTCTAACATGTCATTCTTTATGTTAAGGAAATAATAAAATTAGGGCTGTTTTCTGGTTCCCCATCTTAAAGCATGGACAACATTTATAGTGGCAACAACACAGTTGTATACTTTTCTTCTGTTAAAGGGAAAAATCAGTTGTACTGACTGTATCTCAGTGCCTAAAAATGAAGACCATAATCCTTTCAAATGTTTAGTTTAAGTATGGAGTTATAGGGTAATATTCCATACTTTATTAAAAACACTGTTTCTATAAACTTTTTAACATCATGTATACATATATAACACTTTCATGAAGCTGCAGAATGCATCATGCATGCATATATTACACTTGCATGAAGCTACAGAATGGACCTAATAAGTTACAATTTTATCTTTTCATTTCCTGTTACTTTTATGATGGCACCTATTAATTTACTAAGAATAAAACAGTATAAAACCATTTAAAATCTGTATTATTCAATAAGCTAGTATGGAATTGTTTGTCTTCTCGTATTTTATAGTAACGAGGCATAAGTTCTAGCATATAAGATGACGCTGATAATGAAACTTTCTGAAATGTTGGTTGGCTGTAGCATACATGTAACTTTGAAATGTTTCCATTAAGGAAGAAAGTGGGAACACAACATTAATTATAGGCTTTGGTATATTAGTTTTACAGTTATAGTGCTTATAATGAAAGTGCACACTATATTCAGACATGCAGTGTAGATGAGGAAAGTCATCACTGCTATCCTTTAAAAAGAGGAAGACATTACAGCTAAACTGTTTATGATTGTCATTAATAAGAGTTTCTTTTTCAGAGGATGAAGACTTTTCTATTCTTTTAAAAGCCTTAGAAGGTAGGTATCATGGAGTTTTCCCCAACTCTTTAAAAGAGGTTTACTATGAATATATTCTGAACAGAGTTTTGCATTTCTTTCTGAACAGTTATGAACTTTTCCAAAGAACTAAATAAGCATAATAAGCAAAATAAGTCAGATGCATTTAAAGTATTTATCTTGGTATGGGAGTAAAACAGTTATAATCATGGTAATATTTAGGATTCAATTAAAAAAGTTGTTAAGGAATATATTCCTAATAATCTGATAAGTGGAGTACAACTTTACTTCCTATGTAAGATAAAGTAGAATGCAGTAAGCATTTGAAAATATTTCGAGGAAGATGGAGCCTGCCCTTAAACTATATGGTAACCTTCAGTGCCTGTAAACATTCAGGGAGCGCTGGAACAGTTTCGATTAATCAAGTCTGCTGGAGTGTGCTAATTAGAGCTCTTCAGCAGCCTCCATGTCTTGTGTATTCAGTGGCCCTGCGTTTCAAAATGGTGGCAGGGATGCTTTAACTAAAGTTCATTGAATGAGATTTAGTTAAAATGCCCCTGCTGCTGTTTTGAAGCGTGGGACACTGATTCATGAGATGCTGTAGGCACTTTAATTAGAACGGATCTCAGCTGTTGATTAAAGGTACCCCTCTCCCCGCCTAATCTCTGTAGCACATGTAAAGGCACCCCTTATGTCTCAGGTTTAAAACATTATATTGAGAAACAAATGATTACAGTTTCTTATGAGGTACTTGCAGGCTTTATGAACTATCAGCTTGAAAGTGTAAAGTCTGTGTAGGGTGTAAAGTCTGTCTAACTTTTATACCATGAAGAAAGCAAGTCAGCACTATAAATCCAGGAAATCAGCCTAACTTGTTTTCTGTTTGTTTGGTTTTTTTAAAAAAAACCCATCCCTTTTAAGAGCATTTTTTTTAAATCATTGGGATTTTCTGCCTGAGCAATGGAAGAAGGATTTGGCCTAACAGTGTACCGGGCTTTCTATGCCTGTGAATGCATGTCATGTGCTTTTTCCTTCTGTAATCATTGTGTGCACAACACACAGGATTTAGCAATACCAGGGGAAAAAATATGCCTTTATTTTTCTGCTTTGTATTATGGCAGTTAAATAAACCCATGTTAGGATCGTGTTCAGAATGTGAATTTCTTTGTTTGCTAATTTGCCTGAACTTTAACTAGTTTACTTGAATAAGAAGGTAAGATATTTCCATCAAAACCATCCTTGAAAGAAGATTTTGTGTGTCAGATCATAGAATATTTTTTTTATTGTCTACAGATTATGAACAATATATCAGTGATGGAGTCAGGATCCCATCTATCATATGTGTGATAACAGGTAATTATCTTTTCTTGTTATTTTCCTATTTCCCTTCATTACTAATGCTTAATGGACTCAAGTTTTACCATTTTTGTATATTAACTCTTAAATTGATAAATTAATTTAAAAAATTGATGAATTCGTAAAAATGGTTATTTCTGTTTGGGAATAATTTGGCAAATCATCTTAGAGCACATGGTGAAATGATGATGATGTAATGTAGTATTTAAAGATAGTATGTTGGCATACCTATCTAGAAATGTTAATGTACTCTGGAATTATTTGCTTGTAAGTGATTTCAAAAGAGTGAAAAAATTAGAAGAACTTGAAATGTGATTTAAATGGAATTTGGACTATTAGCAAGGGGTCTAGAAAGATGCATAAAGATTAAACATTAGATTTTATAGAAAGTGGTATA